AGACTATTTATAATTGACAAATGGGCTAATTATGGGCACCAAGACTGTGGTTCGTCAGCCTTTGTGGCGGAACAGGCGTTAAGGCGTGATACGGCGTGATACGGCAAGTGACGCCTGTACACGTGCCAGGCGTACCGTATACGTCATATCCCAACACTTATTTGCTGCCGTGGTTTATCCGATGAGGTCTTCTGTTAGACACTAGACTGCCGAATTTAAACAATATATCCGAACCTTTATTGCCGGCGCATACGTTTTAAAGCCGAAATTATACTCCACATATCCGGTCAGAAGAACATTACAGCTGGCATAACTACTTCATCTACTTTCTTGACCATCATATCCATCTTTAACTAATCACAATGGCACCAAGTTTCGATTGCTGCATCAAAGTGAGTTTCATATATGAGTAAGCACAATGAATGCATTGCTGACTGTCTTGCAATTCTAAACCTTCGCAGGCCAACTACCACACCGGTAAACCCGTTGGTCATGAGACTAAATTTGCAGGTTTAGACACTTACATCACAGGCTCAGAATCGGCCGACAAAGCAATCTTGATCATTCCTGATGTATTCGGTATTACATTGGTAAATACTCGTTTATTGGCTGATAAATACGCTGAATCCGTTGGAGCAAGAGTTTACGTTCCTGATTTCTTTGATGGTCAAGATTTACAAAAACAATCAGAAACAACTCCAAACTTTGATAGAAGCAAAGCCGTTCCTGAATTAATCAAAAATTTCCCACCAAGAAACTATGAACGTTTCCCACCCGTGGTAGATGAAATCCGTAAAGCACAACCAAGCGCAAAAAAGATTGGTTCGATCGGATTTTGTTGGGGTGCAGGAGGATCTGTCAAACTTGGTTCAAAAGAAGCAGGTTCTTCACAAGTTGACGCAGTCGCTTTCGCTCATCCAAGTTTGATCGAATCCACCGATTTCCAAAATTTGGAAAAGCCAGGATTGTTTATGTGCTGTCAACATGATCCAATGTTCCCTAAGGATAAACAAGAAGCTTCCAAGTTAGAATGGGAGAAATTAGCCGAGAAAGGTGTTTTCATTCGTCAAAGCTATTATCCCTTCGTTTCACATGGATGGGCTATCAAAGGTGATGAAACCAACCCTTACTCTGCCAAAGCTATGGCACATGCTGCATTAGAGGCAATCTCTTTCTTCTCTCTCGAATTATCTTCATGAGTCGATAATCTGTTTGTAGCGATTCACCAAAATTCATGAATATAAAATAATCATTTTGAATACGATCTTCTGACTGTCATTGACAAGTGGGCTTTCGCGGTGAGGATGGAGGAGCATTTGTCTACATGACGTGCTTGGCTATGAAGATCTACAGAAGCGATTACGTATCCCATCAGAGGGAGAACGTCCGGTCAAAAAGATTGAGACTGAAAGCGTTCACATATCTCATCAGAAAGGACTGTCAGGTCAGAGAGGTTGGGACTAGAAGGTGTTTACATACCACATCAGAAAGAATGACTACAGGTACCTCATCAGAAAGAATCGTTGGAGCTATCCTATAGGAAAGTATCGTCGGAGGTATCTCATTAAAGAGTATAGTCGGAGGTATCTCATTAGAAGGGACCATTAGAGTTATCTTATGAGAAAGGATTGTTAGAGATATCTTATCAGACAGAATTAATAGAGGTAATACGTTGGAAAGGATGCTTAGATTTATTGTATCGGTAAGGATCGATAGAGGTACCTTATCAGAAAAGAGCCTCGGGTCAAGAAGACGGAAAATTAAATCGTTTACATTCCTCATCAGAAAGGAAGGTAAGGTTAACAAAGTTGAGACTGAAAGCGGATACATCCCACGTCAGAATGTATGGTCAGAGGTATCTCATCATAAGGGACCGTTAGAGAGATCCCATCAGAAGTGATTCTTAGAGGTACCTCATCAGAAAGGGATCGTCGGATATACCTCATCGGAAAGAAATCCTAGAGGTACCTCATCAGAACAAAGTGCTAGAGATACCTCATCAGAATAAAGTCCTAGAGATACCTCATCAGAATGAAGTCCTAGAGATACCTCATCAGAATGAAGTCCTAGAGATACCTCATCAGAATGAAGTCCTTGGGATACCTCATCAGAATGAAGTACTTGAGATACCTCATCAGAATGAAGT